CCCCCCCCAAAAAAAAAACAACAACAACATTTCAATGCCACAATTTCACTCTCCAGTGCTGGTACTGTAGCAAGATGCTGTACAACAACGTGGCGGCCATGATGCACATCCAAGGTCACATCGACTCGGAGAGACAGGTCAACCTTGACCTCAGCGACCTCACGCAGTGCCGACACTGCTACAAGCAGTTCGACACGCCCTTTGAGATGCAGACCCACATTGAGAAGGTGATGTTTCCAAAAGACTAAATGGGGGCTCTCGTGGTCTAGAGGTCATGCCGTTCATCTCTCATTCGATAGGTCCCGGGTTAGAATCCTGACAGCGACGGGAAAATTTTCTTCTCTAAAATTTTTTCTCCTTTGACATTCTTTCCTACTCTGTGATCATGTTTATCGTCTGCTTTCATCTCCACTTTCTGCACCCCCCTCCCCCCCCTGTCCCCACCCCCTTTGACCCATCCTCTAGGCTTCAAGATTAATTCCTACCGCAATGAAAATGCTTAATGTGTCCTGCGGGTTCATGCTTCCATATGCAGTTGCGAGCGCCGTAAAACTATTGCAAAAAAACCCCCCCAGACTAGGTTTGAATATTCTGTGGCTCTTGTTTGAAGAAGAAAAAGGCAAACTTTGTTTGACCCCAGGATCTGCTGGGGTAGTTATCTATGTGAGGCGTGCTGACGAAATGAGTTATTTCTCGCTGTCCAAGAATAGAGATGTCGGCCGAAAATCGACAGTACGGTCAGATTTATAGATTTGTAATTGATGCCATTTTGTTCAAGTCTACCGTGTCTTTTATTCTTTCATACACTTACAAATTGTACAAACGGCACCTATAAAGTTGATGTATCAATTACCCTAAGACTAAAATCGTAAGTATCTCATTTTGTCAGCACACCTCACATATAGATTGTAAGGAGCATAGAGGAAGCTCGAGAGCACGGATATGGGCTGTGTAAATGCATCGTATATATAATATCATCATGCTGTATATCATCATTGTTACTATGTTTGTTGTCATTGTTGTTATTGTTATTATTGTTATTATTAGTGTTGTTGTTATTTTTAAAAAAAATTATCATTATTATTAACGTTCTTGCTATTATTATCATTATCGTTATCGTCATCAACATCATTATTATCATTATTATGATTATTATGATTAATTATTATTATCATTATTATTACTTCATATTATCATTGTTGTTATTATTATGATTATTATTGTTGTTACTGTGTAGGTGCACATGAACAACGCCAACGTGCTGCTGTGTCGTATCTGTGAGAAGGACCACGGCAGTCAGCTGAACCTGACCGAGCACATGCGCAAGTTCCACAACGCGTGCGAGATGCCCTACCACTGTCAGCTGTGTAGTTTTAGGTCTTCTATGTATAGTGACGTGGTGGACCACTTCAAGAAGGTGTTTGTGTGTGTGTGTGTGTGTGTGTGTGTGTGTGTATGTGTGTGTGTGTTCTTGACCTCTATGTATAGTGACGTGGTGGACCACTTCAAGAAGGTGTGGGTGTGTTTGTGTGTGTCTGTGTGGGTGTATGTGTGTGTGTGTGTGTGTGTGTGGGTGTGTGTGTGTCTGTGTGGGTGTATGTGTGTGTGTGTATTCTTGTGTGTGTTCTTGTGTGTGTTCTTGTGTGTGTGTGTGTGTGTGTGGTGGACCACTTCAAGAAGGTGTGTGTGTGTGTGTGTGTTCTTGTCCTCTATGTATAGTGATGTGGTGGACCACTTCAAGGTGTG